AAAAAAAAAAAAAGCAGTCCCTGTGTACTGACCTCCAATGAGTTCTGCACAGTGGTATAGAGGGCATGTCAAAAGCATAATTAACCCTAAATTGAAATACAGGATTAAAGGAGACACTACCAAATAGTGGAGGGTGGGAGTGCCAGGCTGTGCTGGGAAAGAACAGGGCGATAGGATCAGCTTTCTTCAGCTTTCTCATGAGCCTAGACCAACTGAATGTGACTTTGTTGCTATAATGAAACATAGGAAAAAATTTGAAAATGCGTTAAGACAGAGTCAGTTTTCAACTATCTAAACCTCTCAGAACATAGGGGTGGCTTTATTACCAGTAGGATCTGAGCAGGTAGAAACTGCAAAGAGCAGTAGTTTTAGGGCAAGTGACAGCAAATACTTAATATATAAAGCTCTCCAAAAGAAATAGTTAAAATAGGTTCTGGAAGAACAGATCACTGATGGATACCCTATAACAACTTATTAAGATACTGGCTTCTCAATTTGGGGTTCTTAAAAGCAACAGACAGAAATATTATAAAGAACTGATAATGGAGGAGAAATTTACAGGAAGACAACATAATGAACCAAATATTTGGTAGGAAATAGATTACTTCCACTGCTTTTCTAGAGCAGGGAGAGAATGGTCCTAAAAGATCAATCATCATTACTAAATTCCAGAAGATGCCTCATTAGCAAGGCATTCTTTTATGCTGATGGTAAAAAGACACTTCTATTTCCTATTGAACTATCTCCAGCGTTTCCTACATTTTTTCCTACTCTATGGGTTCGTCCTGATTTGCTTAAAAGGTCTGAGGTTTTATACATGGAATATTCTGTTTCACACATGGCTACTCTGGCAAATCAAGTGCTTTGCTGTGTATTAAAAGTTTTCTTCTCCAATTTAATTTTCACTGTTTTCTTGATTTTTTTCTTAATATTTTTCTATATTCTAAAGCTAACAATCAAAATTTCAATTTCAGACAAATTTTCACACAGCTATTAAGAAATTAATAATGTATAATAAAAGCAACTCACCAACTGGATGAATGATGGTGTTCTGCAGACTGGGAATTACCACAGAGTAAGTCGTTGGGCGATAAGGATAAATTGTAGGATTTGTAGAAATGATATTCTGTGTGGTACCAGAAAATACATTGGGAACACTTAAAGGGAAGCGTTTTCGCTTCCCTGGACGAGGCTGATAAACCCAACCTATAGAAGAAGATAAATTATTTTAAATTTGAACAAACAGACTCTACTTAGCCTTCAAACAGTTCTTTTCACATTAAAAATCCAAAACACTTATAAGTTTTTAAAAATAAGTTATTATCTGAAGTATCTTTTCTAGGTCTATGATAATACTTCTCTGCATTTTAGCATATGTATCCCTAAAGCTCCTTATAAATGGCCAATACTGTAACCCATAATTCAAAGGAAGAACAAGGTCAAATATTTCATAGCTAAAGACACATACTGAAACTGTAGTAAAATCAACATTAAAGGTTTTGAATTTGAATCCTAAAGCTTTTCTTCCACCTATAAAATAATGCTCCTGTAAGACACTATCCATCTTCTGTTCCCTCACAATAAGATATAATTGTCTACATATTATAATGAAATGATCACTAATGACCAGTCACTATTTTTATGCCTAGTTCAGTAATAGTTACTTTCCTACCCTTGGCATTCTCCAAGTCCACAAATAACCCGATTCCCTTCTAGAGTCACAAGAATGAAGTTATGGCACTTGTGTAACCAGGGGAATCACTGGTTCCCTGTAATTGCTGTCTCTGACCATACCTGCCGGTATCTCTCTGCTCATACTTTAGAGAAAAATAATTCTTTTCCCATCATGCACAGTCATGATGGCCATAAAGTGTGCATTTACTCAAGCTTAATCTCAGTGTCCTCACTGCTGGGAAGGAAATCAGAAATCACTGCAAACTATATCATGATGAAAATAAATTTATTAATGAGAAGGTAGGAATATGTTTTGATAACCATATAATACTAAATGGAAAACGGTGTTAATCCCTGCATTCTCATTGTCATTAACTGTGCACTGCATATTTTTTCTGTTGCTATGATTTTAACACTTTGTTTTCTAGTACATTTGCAAAATTATTGCCTAGAATTGTGGAGCTTTACCTTCACTAGGTTTGTATCTATATATTTAGTCAAAACCACAATAAAACTGTATGTCCCCCCCTACAATAAAAAATAATTCCTAGCTCAAATATTTGCATGGGCAAATATGAGACCAGATATTCTTCTATGTGGTTCTGTTTAAGGAGGTATTCCCAATATCAATTCAATCATTACTATATTAGCCATTATTCTCTCTTGTACATATCAGGTTAGAAAAAAAATTGCCCATTTTTGTCTTTCAGTATCAACCTAACCTAATCTTTACCTAAATAAATTAAAAGATCTCAGAAAGAGGCTTTGTTCATTTCATTTGATTACCAGGGAATTCCTCTCTGTGCTTTTCTTTAATTTTTTGTGCTTCATCGTAATAGGGTTTCTTTTGTTCTTCACTAAGCTTGTTCCACTCTAGTCCGAGCTGGACGCTGATTTCTGCATTGTTGGCTGCTGGGTTAGCTTTGGCTAGTGCTGGCCGGTGGATCCTTGCCCAAACCATAAATGCATTCATGGGTCGCTTCACATGACCATTTCTGTCCTTACTGAAAGGAGTGTCTGGTATTCCTACATGACAAAAATTAAGAGACTAAATTAATGTGCCACAAACTCACACAATTTTAAAGTGAAGTGCACCTCTAGAACTGCCAGTATGCTAGAATTCCTCATCACCTCTGAACTCAGCATTATAAACTATAGCTTAGAATGACTCTTATCCTCAAAAAGAATAATACAGGTGAAGATACTGTGGAAGTAATAATGTTGAAGACACAGTAAACTGCTAGCTCATTATTTCTTTGAGCTTTATTAATATGTCTAACAATAATCAATGCAGTTTGTTTCCCATTAAAAATATTGTATTATTGGGGGATAGAAACTATGCATGACTTATTCATTACTATAATCCTAGCACTCAATAGATTCCCTAAATGTTAAAAGGAACTTATTTACATGCCACTGTAGTGTGCATTCAAGCAAAAATATTCACAATAATACTGTATCACTTATATATCATCATGAAGGTGAAGCTCCTGCCAAGGTGCATCATCAACACTAGTCTTATGTCCTCGGAGAAAAATAAGAGAAAAATGATAAAAGTGACATTTTTGAGAGTCATAGAAATTGAAATTACAATAAAGGAAGTTAGCTAAATTCACATCTTAGAAAATTACCCCAAAACAACTGTCTATAAACTTATATTATTTCTATTTTAGGGTTACTTGACATACAAGAAAAATGTCTAACACATTAAGGATGAAATAAGTATTATAAAGGAAGCTTCCCCTTTCTCTACTTTAATAAATGAAAACCAAGTTCAAAAACTAAGATATAACAGGAGAATGAGATGGTGGGGAAGAATCAGTAAAGAAAATAAAAACAATAAATATAAAAGTTAATGAAAGCATGAAGATTAATATAACTTTCCATGATACTCACTGGCATAGTATTCTGTCTGAATTAAATCTTAAAATAAGAATTTCCTAACTATGTATTTGGAAATAATGGATAAAAATAAAATATCTACTTGCAGTTATTGCTGTAAGTATAATCATTTCTTTGAAAGCAATTTTTCTAGCTCATTCTACAGTATTTTCATTGTCTATCAGTCCTTAGTTCTTACAATACTGGTGTTACATTTAATCATGTACTGTTTTGCCCTGGAAAAATGTTTACCATTCATTTTCAAAGAAGATAAATCACCTCTAAATTCAGTATAAACTTTCCTGTTGCCTGTCACCACTTTTTTTCTGTTGCTTGATACACGTAAAAATACTGTCACTATAATACAGTATTTTAACATGTTATCTGTAGATATAAACTGAGGACTTTGTGTTACCTAGTAAGAATATTGCTATTTTTGTGCATAAACCTTAGTTACGTCTAAATCTCATCATTCACTGGGCCTTAAAATAGACGTTTTTAAATGTTGGGGATTCTTGAACGTGTTAGTGTATTTTACCGGTATATACATACAAGGCCATCAGAAGTGATACCTGTGCAGATTTTGCCCTCAAAAGAACGGTTCAATGATTTTATTTTTCTAGTTTAGGCTTCTGAACTGCTGACATGTCAGCTATGGGACACAGACAAAGTTTGAAAACCAGATTTCCCTGCTGTGTAATACCTGCATCTGAGGGAAGCACGGTGAGCAGGACATCTTTGGTTTCAATTTTTACAGAAGGCTCCAGTAAGGACTGCATTTTGATAGGCACTGGTGGCAAGGGGACCTTGGTCAATCGTATCAGCTCCGAAGGTGGAGGTTCCTGGAATTGGATCCGAGCTCCAGGAGGAACGGTGTGGAGGGTCAAAGGGATCCCGAGGTCTTGCTGGTGCGGCCCAAAGGTGCTGGACGGCTGGGCCCGGATGACCTCCTTGCTGCCATGGACCAGGCCACTGGACGCGGGCTCTGTGGATAGCCTGCACTCCTCACAGGGTCTCCCAGGCTCCTCCGTCTTGATGACCCCCTCTCGGATGGCTGTCAGGCCTTTGCCATCCCCACCATCCGCGGTGTCCCTCATGACCTCCTCCGCCTCTGACTTGCCCTTCTTCTCGTCACTTCGGGGGCAGTCGAGGGCGGGCCCGGAGCCTTCCACCTGAGCTGCTCTGGAGGACCGTGGGCCCGCCTCGACCATCCTCCGAGGGCCCACCGACGGATCGGAGCGGGGCCCTAGCTCCTGCTTTTCAGCCTTGACGTGCAGTACCCGGGGCAGCACCGGCTGCCCTTCGGGCCCGCAGGAGGAACTCTCGGGAGCAGGTGGCGGTGGCCGCTGCAGCAGCTCGGGCCTCAGCTGCAGCAGCGCGGGCGACGCGGTGGCGCCTACGTCCCCGGCCTGAGGAGGCGGGCACCCTGGCGGCAGCTTCACCTGCAGGAGCCCCTGCGCCCTGAGCTGGACACCCGACGCTGGGGCCTCCCAGCACGACGGGGCCACTGTCGCAGTGGTGGCCGCGCACGAGGCTTGTGGCGACGGCTGGGCCTCCGCGGCCGCTACCCGAAAAGAGGTGCCCTCGGCCGGCAGCGGGGACGGAGCGGGGCGCAGCAGGCGCGGCGGGGTCACCCGCGGCAGTTGGCGCTGCCTAGGCGGTGGCTCCGGCCTGGCTCTCTCCATGGGGGCAGGGGCGCCTGGCTGTCCCGACCAGGATTGTGAGCTCAGCCGTTTGTTGGCGACCTCCCCCTCCCCCTTTCGGTTAAGGCCCTTCCAAGGCCTTTGCTACCCAGAACCCTATGCGGCTCAAAAAGCAGCCCTCAGTCCTGGCCTTGCCCAATCACGAGCGTCCGGTGTCCCTGCCCGCCAATCACGCACGCGTCCTCTGGCCCCTCCCGCTCTCCATCGCGAGCCCGAGCACGTGCTTTCCATTTTCCCCTCTGACTCTCGCTTTGTTCCAGAGCTCTCTTCCAGCCGTTGTACTTGGTTACCCTGCTGTGCAGGGAGCGCTGGATAATGGCGTTGCACAGGAAACATGCCACTGACCTCCAGGGGGGAAAATGGCGTAAGTCCCTAACATGGGCTGGGGATCCAGGCCTTGTAAATGCTGTTTGTGCTGCCAGAACACATGAGGGGCCCCAGCATCACAGGTGACCTCTAGATCTTGTGCAATGGGAAGATGGGGGTAATTTTGCAGCTTTTCAATAACCCCATTAATCGATTTGCTGAGAAGAGTGTTAGACTTTGTACAAGAACTGCTAGTTAAACATTTAGTTAACCACCAGTTCCTCTGGGCCCTACTTGCAACATACGTACCAAATTCATGCACTTAATTTGGATTTTACCGCTATGACTGTTTCTAAGTTCTATCATCTTTCACCTGGGTGCTGTCAACCCTATGGTGTAGTCTTTCTGTTTTTCACCCTTGTTCCAATACACTCCCACTTCCAGAGATCTTTTCAAAAATACAAATGTAGTCCTGCAGCACACCACTCTCCTAAATCTTCCTGTGGTTCCCCACTGACCACATGATAAGGTCCACTAAACTTGGCAACACCTATAAAGCCACAAATGGCTTGAGATCTATGAACTACCACCACTCACCATTCTACTCCTGGCGCTGTGGGTTCCAGACACAGCTACACTGGCTTCTCATCGATTCTCTCTTACCTCAAGGATCTTTGAATATGCCCCCAGGGCTATTTCTCCCTCGTGTCTCCTTAAACTCCTGTCCATTTTTCAAATCGCAGCTCAACTGGACCTTCTTGGAGAAGTCTTCTCTGACTCTGAAAATAAGGTCAAATCTCCTTGATGTGCCCATATCTCCATAATTTGTTTTAAAGCTCTTATTGCAATTTGTAACTACATATTTCTTTATGCCATTATTCTACTGCCTTCATTGACTACAAACTCCTTGAGGGCAGACTGTCTGTGTTTCGCTCATCATTGAATCTGTAATGCTGACCATAGAGCCTGGCATATAGTAGGCATTCACTAAGTACTTGTTTAATTAATAAAGACTACCAAAGTCTAATAATATAATAATAATCACTACCTTCATTAAGGGTTTACTCTTATGCTAGGCACTGTACTCAGGTCCTTCTCATGACCATGCCTTCCCTTTTACTAAGGCTGTTTATTTTCAATAAGTATCACCAAGAAAAAGAGAAAAAATCTTGTATTAACATCTGCTACATTTCTAAATGATGTCCTGACTAAAGGCTATAGATTTATCTTGAGGTGGATGATTTTTGCAACCAAGACAAGCTATCTTTCAAACAAAACCTGTCCCAATTCATTTTCTAATCCCTTGTCAGAGGTCGCAAACAGTAGTTCTCAAACCAGGCAGGTAGACAAAGGCAGAGGGGTTCTCAAACTTTATCTCAGGAACCCTTTATATCCACAAAAATGGCTGAAGATTCCAAAGAGGTTTTATTTACGTGGTTTTATCTATCAATATCTGCCATTTAATAAGTGAAAACTCAGGACTTAAAAACATTTACCAATTCATTTAAAATATCAATAGTAAACCCTTTACATGTTAATATTGTCAAAATGGCCATCCTACCTAAAGCAATCCATAGATTCAATGCAATCCCTCTCAAGATACCGACAGCATTCTTCAATGAACTGGAACAAATAGTTCTAAAATTCATATGGAACCACAGAACACCCCGAATAGCCAACACAATCCTGAGAAGGAAGAATAAAGCAGGGGGAATTACGCTGCCCAACTTCAAGCTCTACTACAAAGCCACAGTAATCAATACAATTTGTTACTGGCACAAGAACAGACCCATAGATCATTGGAACAGACTAGAGAGCCCAGATATAGACCCACACATGTACGGCCAATTAATATATGATAAAGGAGCCATGGACTCACAATGGGGAAATAAGAGCCTCTTCAACAACTGGTGTTGGCAAAACTAGACAGCTACATGTAAGAGAATGAAACTGGATTATTGTTTAACCCCATATACAAAAGTAAACTTGAAATGGATCAAACACCTGAATGTAAGTCATGAAACCATAAAAATCTTAGAAGAAAACATAGGCAAAAATCTTTTGAATATAAACATCAGCAACTTTTTCCTGAACAAGTGTCCTCTGGCAAGAGAAACAAAACCTAAAATGAACAACAGGAATACATCAAGCTAAAAAAGCTTCTGTACAGCAAAGGACACCACCAGCAAAACAAAAAGGCATCCTACAGTATGGGAGAATATCTTTGTAAATGACATATCCAACAAGGGGTTAACATCCAAAATATATAAAGAACTCACATACCTCAAAAAACAAATAGCCCTATTAAAAATGGGCAGAGGATATGAACAGACAATTCTCCAAAGAAGAAATTCAGATGGTGAACAGGCAAATGAAAAGATGCTCCACATCGTTAATTATCAGGGAAATGCAAATTAAAACCACAATGAGATATCACCTCACAGCAGTTAGGATGGTCAACACAGAAAAGACTAGAAACAACAAATGCTGGCAAGGATGTGGAGAAAGGGAACCCTCCTACATTGCTGGTGGGAATGTAAACTAGTTCAACCATTGTGGAAAGCAATATGGAGGTTCCTTAAAAAGCTAAAAATAGAAGTACTATTTGACTTGGGAATTCCACTCCTTGGAATTTACCCAAAGAAAACAAGTTCTCAGATTCAAAAAAACATATACACCCCTATTTTATTGCAGCACTATTTACAATAGCCAATATATGGAAGCAACCCCAGTGTCCATCAGTAGATGAACAGGTAGAGAAGATGTGGTACATATATACAGTGGAATATTATTCAGCCATAAGAAGGAAACAAATCCTACCATTTGCAACAACATGGATGGAGCTGAAGGATATTATGCTCAGTGAAATAAGGTAGATGGAGAAAGACAAGTACCAAATGATTTCCCTCATTTGCGGAGTGTAACAACAAAGCAAAACGGAAGGAATAAAACAGACTCCAAGAAGGGACTAGCGGTTACCAAAGGGGAGGGGTGAGGGAGGGTGGTAGCCAGGGAGGGAGAAGGGGATTGAGGGGTATTATCATTAGTACACATGGTGTGTGGGGGGTGTCACAGGGAAGATAGTGTAGCACAGAGAAGACAAGTAGTGACTGTGCCATCTTACTACATTGATGGACAGTGATTTCAATAGGGTATGGAGGGGATTGTATAATATGGGTGAATCTAGTAAGCACAATGTTTTTCATGTGAAATCTTCATAAGAGTGTATATCAATGATACCTTAACAAAAACTAAACTAAAGTAAAATATTAACAGAGAAAAGAAATATTTGTTGGGACATAGGTTTGCAGTCTCTTGGGTTGGCACCTAGGAGCCTAATTGCTAGGTTATATGGTATGTGGTACATATAACATTTTACAAAACTGCCAAACTGCTTTGCAAAATGTCTGTGCCATTTTATGTTTCCACCCACAATATCTGATGGTCCAAGTTCTCTACCTCTTATTCAACACTGGCATCATGAGCCTTTTAAATTTTTGCTATTCTAGTGGGTATATAGTGGAAATAATTGAGGTTTAAAAATCACATTTTTAGAATGAATATTGATGAGTATATTTTCATGTACTTAGGTGCTATTCATATATCTTCATTGCCTAGTTTCTAATAAACTCTTTTTGCCCATTTTTTAGGTTAGGTTGTTGGTTCCTTATTGTTGACTTTTAAGGATTCTTAACATGTTCTAGATGCAAATTCTTTATTATATATTTTGCAAATATTCTCTTTCAGACTGTGGCTTGTCTTTTCATTTTTTTCTTTTTCCATTCTTAATGGTGTATTTTGAATGGCAAAACATTTCAACTTTGATGAAGTTTAAGTCATCAATATGTCTTTATCATATCTAAAATATTTTTGCCTAGCCAAAAGTTAGAAATGTTTGATTATATCTAAATAATCTTTGTGTAACCTAATGTTACAAAGGTCCTATAAGTTCTCAAACATAGTTCTTTTTAAAATGGTATTGGCTATTCTTGCTCCTTTTTATTTCCATATAAACTTTCATATCAGCTTATGAATTGTCACCAAAAAAAGAAAAAGTCTGCTGGTATTAAGGATTGAATTGAATCTATGGATCAGTTTTGGAAAAATGAACATCTTAACAATATTAAGTCTTCCAATTTGCAGCCAGGGGACATAGCACCATTTATTCCAGTCTAATCTTTCTTAATAATGCTAAATAACTTTCAGTGTACATTTCTGAACTGTTTTGTTAAATTTATTGCTTAATAGTTTATTTTTTGATGATGCTGTAAATGTAATTGTTTTGTTAATTTCATTTCTAGTTCATTGTATGATGATTTTACATTCATATTTTCTTGCCTTGTTGTACTAGCTAGAAGCTCCAGTCCACTGTTCAATAAAAGTGCTAAGAGTGGACATCCTTGCTTTGAATCCATTGTTAGGGGAAAGCATTGCCTTTCATATTTTATCATGAAGTTAGTTGTAGGTTTTATATAGCTCCTTTTTATCCAATTAAAGAAGTTTCCTTCTATTCCTAGTGTGATAAGAGCTTTATCATGAATATTTGTTGCATTTCATCAAGTGTTTTTCTACATCTATTGAGACAATCATATAGTCTCTTCTTTATTGCAGAGTCAGCAACAATTTTTAGAGACAGCCATATAGTAAATATTTTTGGTTTTGTGAGCTATATGACCTCTTTTGCAACTGATCAATTCTGCTATCCTAACATGAAAGAATTATAGACAACATGTAAATGAATGGGCATGATTGTGATCCAGTAAAGTTTAGTTTACAAAAACAAAAGGCATGCCATATTTGGCTTATGGGCTATAGTGTCCTGACCCTGCTTTATTCTATTAATACGTATATTACATTAATTGATATTCAGATGTTAGGCTAAACGCATTTCTGGATAAACCCCACTTGATCAAATGTATGATCTTTTTTATACATTACTGTATGCAATTGCTATTCGTTTAAGAATTTTAGCATTTATGTTCATGAAGAGTATTGGTCTATAGTTTTCTTGTGATATCTTTGCCACTTTAGTATCAGGATAAAATGAGCTGGAAAGTGTTCCCTTCTATTTTTGAAAGGGTTGTGTTGGATTGGTATTAATTTAAATGTTGATAGACTCACTGGTAAAGAAAGCTGACTGGGCCTGGACTTCCCTTTGTAGGATACTTAAATAACTCAGTTAAGTAATTTAATGTCTTTTCTTGATAAAGACCTATTCAGATTTTATATAAATTCTTGAGTTATTTTGATCATTTCTGTCTACAGATTTGCCTGTTTCAAATAAGTTGTCAAATTGTAGATGTAAGATTTTTCAATGTTTTTTTTAATCCTTTTAATTTCTGTAGGGTTCAGAATGTTTCTTGTTTCATTCCTAATTGTGGTAATTTGTATTTTTTCTCTTTTTTTCTTGGTCATTTTATTGAAATTTTATCAATTCCATGAATCTTTTCAAAGAGCCAACTATCAATTTTGCTGATTTTCTCTGTAGCTTTGCTCATTTTTTTAAAAGTGATTTTTGCTGTGGCCTATTGTTTCCTTCATTTTACTTAACTTTGGGTTTGATTTGTCCTTTTTATAAATTCCTCGTAAGTTGAAAACTTGTTAATTTTTTTAGGTTATTGATTTAAAAATTTGTTTCCTTTCTAACATAGTCATTCAAGGCTATAAATTTCCCTATATGGACTGCTTTACCTGCACTCCATTAATTTGATATGTCATGATTTTATGTTCATTCAGTTTCAGATATTCTCTAATTTGATGATTTCTTCTTTGACCTATGAGTTATTTATAAGCATGTTGCTTAATTTCTAATTATTTGGAGAGTTTCCAGATTTCCTTCTATTGTTAATTTTTAATTTAATTCCACTGTGGTTGTAAAGGTTCAACCTTATAAATATGCTGTGCCTTGTTCTATCACCTTGCTTATGGTCTATGCTAAAGAATCTTTCATATGTCTTTGAAAAGAATGTATATTCTATTGTTTTTAAGTAGAGTGTTCTAGTTGTTTATAATTATTGCTTAAGTAGTCCGTATCATTTCTGATTTGCTGTCTAGTATCTCCAATTACTATTATCAATTAGTGAGAGAAATATTGTAAAATACAACTATAAATACTGAATAGTCTGTTTCCCTTTTCAATGTTGTCACTTTTTGCTTCACACATTTTGGCCTTCTCTTTTTTGGTGTGGTATATTTGTAATTGCTGTATCTTTTTGATGAATTGATCCTTTTATCATTATGAAATATACCTCTCTGTTTATTCCTTTAGTGATATTTCTTATATTAAGGTCTATTTTAATATTGCATCTCCAGCTTTCTTATAGTTATTGTTTGTTTGCTATACCAAGCAAACAATAGGATGCCTTTACCATCCTATTACTTTCCATACATTGTATTTTAAATATAGAGTGTTTCTCTGTCAGACAGAATGTGCTTTTTGATCCCATCTGATTGTCCTGCCTATTGATTGGGGTTTTTAGTCTAGTACAATTTACTGTAATTATTGATATACTTAGAATTGTGTCTGTTATTTTGGACTTTGTTTTCTATGTGCTTTTCATTCTCCTATTTCTCCTATAGTGGTTTCCTTTGCTTGTACAAATATTTTTTAGTGTAACATTCTAACTCCTTTTGATTTTTTTAGGTGAGTTTATGAGGTTTAGTGTGTATAGGTATAGGAGTGTATGGATGCTCTTTGGGTTACAGTATTTATCTTTATCCTATCACAGTCTTCTACAGGTTAATACTGACTTAATTTTGGTAAAATATAGCCATATTTCACAAATATAATTTCATTTCCTCCTCCTTCCTTTATGCCATTACCATATATATTATACCTATATATGTTATAACTTGAATAATACAATGATATATTTATTGTCTTAACCAAACTTGTGCTTTTCAAAGAGATTAACAGAGAAAAATTATATAGGCTTCATATTTATCCACATATTTACTATTTCCCATGTTGTTCTTTCCTTTCTGCAGACCCAAGTTATTGTCAAATGTCATTTCCTTTAGTATTTCTTAAAAGTCAGGTCTGCTAGCAACAACTTTTCTCAAATTTTCTTTATCCACAAATATCTTTATTTCACATTCATCTTTGAAGACTAGTTACACAGAATATGGAATTCATGGCTGAGCTGTTTTTCTTTTTTCTTTCAGCACCTTGAATATATCATTCTACTACCCCCTTCTGTTTTGGAGAAGTCAGCCAGTAACTATAGTTTTATTTTCCACTTAACATACATAGTATTTTTCCTTTTGCAGCTTTCACAATTTTCTCTTTGTTTTTCACTTTCAGGAATTTGACCATGATGATTCTAGATGTGATTTTATTTTTATCTTACTTGTGATTTGTTGAGATTCTTGAATCTGCAAGTTTTGTTTTGTTTTGTCTTAAATTTGTGGGAAGGTTTCAGCCATTATTTCTTCAAATGTTTTTTCTACCCATTCTCTTTCTCTTCAATTTCATGGACCCTCATTAACACATGTTAGAATCCTTGCCATTATTCTGCAAGTCTCTGTTGTCATGTTCATTTTTCTTCGATTCTTTTTATCTCTATTCTTTGGATTAGATCATTTCTATTGATCTATCTTCAAGCTAATTAGTTCTTATACCATCTCAATTCTATTGTTGAGGTTATCTAGCGAAATTTTCATTTCAATTATTTTACTTTTCAACTTGAATTTCAATTTTTAATAACATCTATTAAGATTTCCTGTTTTTTATTATAATTCTTTGGGCATATTTATAATAGCTTCTTTGAATTTTTTGTCTGGTAAATCCAGCATCTGGGCCCTACTCACAGTAAGTTTCTATTCACGGAAAGCTATCTTTTGACGTGATAATGGGTCTGATAGATTTTTCTCTATTCTCTCATCTCTCATGGAAAGGCATCAGTAATAATTGTCAAATAACATAAGATATGAATTTCAATAGTTGGTTCCTTGACAAATTATGTAAGGCATAGAAAGAGGTGTTATTTATTTACTTAATAATGAAAATCTATCTTCAGTGATCATTTCAATAAGATTCCTTGTAATGGGTTGAGTAGTGTTTCTAAAAATTCAGGTCCACAACCTCAGAATTTTTTGGAAATAGAATTATTTGGAAATAGGGTCTTTGAAGATGTAATTACTTAAGGATTGCGATTAGTCATACTGGATTTTGGTGAACCTTAAATCCAATGTCTGGTAGCTGTATAAGAAGAGGAGAGGACACAGAGACAGAGAAATGATGTAAAGATGGAGGCAGAGACTGGAGGGATGCATCTACAAGCCAAGGGATGCCAAGGTTTGCTGGGAGCCACCAGAAGCCAGGAAGAAGCTTTGCACAGATTTTCCCTCAGAGCCTCCAGGAGAACTCAATCTATACCTTGATTTCAAAGTGCTAGCCTCCAGAACTCTGAAAAAATAAAATTTTGTTTTAAGCCACCCAGTTTGTGGTACCTTGTTAAAGTAGCTTTTGGAAATTAACACATTCCTTTTTCTTCTCTTTCTTTTCTTAAAAGAGCATGTGCAACAGAAAGTTCTGGGACTGGTTCATTTCTATGACTGTTACTATCCATCGACAGAGGCCTAAAGAAGAGTTTCTATTCACTGACTGATTCATTTATTCATTCAACAAATATTTACTGAACCCCTAGAATGTGCCAAGCTTTTTGCTGGGCACGAGGAATATACCAGGAAATAAAACAATTTCTCTTCCCTTACACAACTTACCTTTTCAAAAGAAATTTTAAGATGAAGGGCATAAGAAAGCACAAAGTCTGAATTATTGTATAAATTAGTCACAGGGATGAAAGTACAGCACAGAGATATAATCAACAATATTGTAATATCTTTCTATGTTGACAGATAGTAACTACACTTATTGGGATGAGCATTGAATAATGTAGGTAACTGTCAAATCACTATGTCATATAATTGAAACAATATAATATTCTATATCAACTATACTTAAATTTAAAAACATATATAAAAAAATGTTAAATTAGTGCCCAAACTATCCAAGGTCACAAAAATGTCCCACAAAAAAAGCTCATTTAAAATGAATCCTCTAAAACAGTGCTATGGACTGAATGTTTATGATCCTCAAAATTCATATGCTGAAGCCCTAACCCCTAGCATAGCGGTATTTGAAGACAGGGCCTCTACAAAAATAAGTAAATTTAAATGAGGTAAAAAGGGTAGGGCTCTGATCTGATAGGATTATAACCTTCATGAGAAGAGATACCAGAGAGCTCTCTCCACTCTCCCCACCCTCGAGAACACACTGACGAACGGTCTTGGGGGCACACAGAGGGAAGGTGGTCGTCCACACGCTAGGGGGAGCTCTCACGAGGAGCCAACCCCACCAGACCTTGCTCTGGGACTTCCAGCCTCTAAAACGATGAGAAAATTAATATCTGATGTTTAAGCCATCCAGTGTGTGGAGTTTTTTTAGGGCAGCCCAAGCAATTAATGTAAACAAGACCAAATATCCATAGTAAATGTTGGAAATGGTACTTTTTAGACTTGAAAGATTATGAAATGAGTTTAGTTAAACTTTTATTTTAGAAATCTTAGGTTACAATTGCCACTCCATACTAACTCTTAGAACAAACACAGAATTAACCAAGTGTTAATTGTTTATGAGGGAAGATATATACATATATATGGAATTCAGTATAGAAAATTCAGCTAATCATTCTCCACAGTTCCAAGAGTATTATCTTGATCTGTGCAAGTCCCTGTATAAGCTTCCTATTGTTGTAGCGAATTACCACAAATTTAGTGGCTTAAAACAACATAAATTTGTTATCTTATGGTTCTGGAGGCCCAAAGTCCAAATGGGTCACCTAGGACTAAGACCAAGACGTCACTAAGGCTGTTTTCCTTTTAGAGGTTCTAGGGAAGAATCTGCTCCTTGATTTCTTCACTTTAGGGCTGCCTACATTTCTTGGCTCATGGACCTCTTCCATCTTTAAAACCAACAATTGCATCATTAGGACCCCTGCTTCCATTATTACATCATCTTCTCTGGCTCATTTATCTCCCTTTCCATCTTTTAATTACCCTTATGATTACATTGTACCCACTCAGCTTATCTAGGATAATTTCCCTATTTTAAAATCATTAACTTAATCATATCTGCAAAGTCTTTTTGCCATGCAAGGTAACACAGTCACATGTTTCTGTACTTAGTGCACAGACATTGTTGCAAGCGCCATTATTCCATCTACTGCAGCCCCATTCGTTTTATTTTGCTTATTTTATGATGCTCCTTCATTCATTTTCCATTCTCACTCCAATTCTGCTTTCCTTCACCCTCATCCCTCAAGAACCTACTTCAATGTATTTAATGTGTCCTTGGTTATATATGTATCATTGAGTTATATTCAGTGTTCAGTGTACACATGTATTGTTTTTTAATTATACATATCATCTTAGATATAGACTTAATTTGTTTCTTTTTTCCATTTAGCATATTTTTTTAAAATATTCTTTTTGGTTATTTGTATTTTCTACAGTGAATGGGTTCATTCATGTTTTAAAGTTTTTTTAATGTACAATTTAGTGATTTTTAGCGTGTTCACAAAATTGTTCAAAAATCGCCACTATCTGATCCCAGAATGTTTTCATCATCCCAGAATTCATCATCATTTTGAATCCATTAGTAATTACTCTGCATTCCTCCTTTCCCTGGAAACCATTCATCTGCTTTCTGCTCTTAAGAAGCAGAAAAGTCTATAAAAAGATCTATCTACTCATATACATATTATTCTGAGCTCCTGAATTCTGCATTCTGTGCATCAAGCACTTTTGCCTTCTCCATTCCTTTAATTAAGGGCTCCTAGGGTGCTTCCAGTGAGCTCCTTCCATAAGCAGTGTTGTCGTGGACATGCCCTCCATAAACCTGTACCACTGTTTTTTTGAAGATATACCTTGGAGTGGGATTGCTGAGTCCTACATATGAACATACACTGCTTCACTAAGAGATTGGTCTCCCCAGGCAGCTGTTCTACTTCAAACTCCTCATAGCAGTACATGAAGATTTCCTTTTTCTCATTTCCTTACCAACACTTGGTTTTATTCAATAAATCTTTCCAATCTTATTGGCGTATAGAAGTATTCAATTATTGTAAGTTGGACTTCTCTGATCATTAGATTGGCCATCTCTTCATAAACGTATTGGTCTTTCAGCTTTTCCAATCAGTGATATGCATATTCAAATCACTTACCACTTCATTATTATTTCCTGCTTTTTCCATTTTGAGCTGCAGGAGTACCTTGTTTGTTATAAATATTCAAACATTACAAATATCATCTTGTCTTTTATCCATCTGTTCATTTGTCTCTGATATCCTCTGTTGAACAGAAATCTTTAAAATGCAATTGCAGCCATTATTTTTCTCACCTTATATTTTGTGGTCTTGTTTAAGAAATACTCTTCTACCCCAAATCTCTCAAAGAAATTCTTATATTTTCTTTCATTAGTTCTATAATTTTGTCTTTTATACTTTGGCCTTTAATCTACATGAGATTTTTCCTTTATATATGTGATGTAAAATAAGAAACCAAATTCCCTTCATATAGTAACCTGGTTGTCCTAAACACTGTCTAACATTTGTGTTTTCTCTGCTACTTTATCCTGCCTCTGTATCAAGTAGCTCTATAAAGACGTCATAGGGAGAGAACTAAAGCTTCCTGCCACTAGGCCATGTAAGAGAATCATATTGCAAACAAATCTGCTAGCCTCATTCAAGCCTTCATATAACCAGAGACCAGGCTGACATCTTAATTAGAAGCTCATGAAAGACCCTGAGCCAAAACCACCCAGCTAAGCTTTTCCTGAATTCCTGACTTACAGAAACTATGTGGGAGAATAAATTTTTGTCGTTGTTTTAAACCACTAAGTTTTTGGATAATTAATTACACAGCGAAGGGTGACTAATGTAGTTTTAATACTGAACAAAGAACAAGTGGAGCTCTTTGGTCTCTATCACATAGTATCCTGCAGTTTCTATTTCGTTGCTATCAGAAGAATCAAAATAAGTTCTAGCTTTACAATTTTGGCATTCCCTAAAATAAGAGTGCAAGATAGTTGATAAAGGGGAAAGATGGGGAGAGAGAAAGGGAGCTAGGAAAGGAACAAATATTTGAGCCCCTTTACAGTGTGCCTACTATGTCCTTCATTGTCTTATTTTGACCAAAAGTGCATTTGGTCAGCTGTCAGAAACATTGTTCTTGCAGTTACATTATCTTGGACCTTCTCCCACATATAATCACTGTCGGCCAAAGTGAGGAGATCCAAGCTCTGTTAGCTTGACTCGGATGCGGGAATAGGTCATAGAAGGGAATGAGGCAGACTTGAAAATGCTGTGAAAGAGATGCATGTGTTTAACAGAGTCTGTACTAAATATTCTTTAAGGTCTGTTATGCCTGATGTTCTGAGACATTTGTCCTTTGCCTTGTAAACACCTGTTGCCCTTTCAAATTCAGCTTAAATGTACCATTCCTTAAAAAGCCATCTCCGGTTCTCCTAGGTAGAATGACACATTTATCTATGTTTTCATAGCATTTTCTATATACTTCTATTTTTGGCATTCATATTGGAAGAGAGGGGTAGGTAAAACACTACTGGTTTGCCTCTAGACATTCCCCCTTTTTCCTTGCTAACAGAACCCTGCTTTGGTTTAGAAGGCACAGTGCCAAGTTCTGTTCCCCTTAGGGGCTGGCAGAGAGGTGGGCATGTGAACGAAATTCTGTTCATTGACACATATGGAGCAGCCTGCTGGATGCTCTGGAGAAAGAAAGAGCAAAGGAGAGAGCAGACATTCAAAGAAAGCTCTTTTCTGTTTATTTCTGTCCTTTCTACCTTAGATGTTATGATATGACAACATGATTTCTGGTACCATGGCAGCCATTTTGTGGACATGAGGAGAGGTCTCACTGTTATCATCTGGATAGTGAAGCAGAAGAATTATAAGTGTTCCAATCCTTGATGTCATCATTAAGCCACTGAATGAGCACTGGAACTGCTGAACTCCAAACTTCTCTATGTGATATAAGTAAATTTCCATTTTGTTTAAACTTCTATTAGTCAGGTTCCCAGTTGCTTGCATCCAAAAGCATCTAAATTGATAGAAAGGGGAATGAAAATAACATTTCTTAAACAGTTGTAATATGCTTTAATTTTTTTGTTAACATGTTTTTCTCCCTAAATTGTTAAGGTGGGAGCCTTATCTTAATCAATTTCTAGTGCCTTCTATAGTCTCTGATTTAGAATGGCTGCTTAAGAAGTGTTTGAGCAGTGAACAAATTAATTAGTAAATGAATGGATAAAATCCATAAATCAATGGTATGATGTTATTAGGAAACAGTGTAGAAAAATTTGGTTAAGGGCATAAGCTCTGGCATTACATTTCTGGCTTCTTAACCTGGTTACACAACCTACTAGCTATGTAACCTTGGGCAAGTCACAATCTCTATAAGGCTGTTTCCTTAGCTATATAATGGGAATAACAACTGTATATACCTTTAAAAAACTATTGTGAGGATATTAAGTGTCCTATGACAAGGACTCAGCACAGAATTTGGTATCTAATAAACACTGACCATGTTAGCTTTTGGAGAAGAATAGAGCAAAACCAACAGTGATTCCAAATTTTCAAGCCTGGTTGACTGGGAAAATAAAGATAAATTTGGCCAAAATTCAGTGGGGAAATGGAGAAGATGATGCTCATCTTCAGATATGTGTGAAACAAACCCTAAATAAAGTTCAAGAATGAAGGTATTTTGGTTATATTTATACAGAGTCAGTCTACTTAGATTGTGGCTTATATTTCAATTACTCATCCTGAAATTTTATAATTATGGAATTATACTTTAAAATATAGTAATTTAGAAAGGAGAGTAACTTCCAGATTGTATCTATGATGAGTCAAATCCAAGGGGGAAGTAGTTCTGAGATTTGGCCTAAAAAAGTGCTCTCAAGTAGTGATCTTCAAAAACAAAGTGTCACAGAGAGAAAAGATTTCCTTAAATGGTATAAATGCATGCAGTGTCAAAGATGTGATGTAGTTCAGTCTCCGAAATCCTTTGAATTCTCTTCCCAATTTGATGTTTCTTCACAGAAACAGAGGAAAACTATGCCATAAATTATTTAGAGGCAAAGTTTTGTATATTAGTGTCAAGGAACCACTTTTGTTCTCCAACTAGCCAGAATAAATAATAATAATAATCAAGCATGGCTAGTAGTATTTGTTATGTAGGGAGGACTTTTTAATTGTTAAAATGAAAAGGAGTATCTCATTGAACTCAGATTAGGAAATAATTCTTCCCGAGCAAATTAATTAAAAGTTATTATTGGATTTTCTCTTACCTTTAATTTCCATTGCTTAGGAATGAGTAATAATATTAGCTAAATAGAAAACCAACTCACATTCCAGATCCCACTTTTACATGGGCATGAAGATTTCAGTCTTTTCTTCAGTCCAGCCATTGAAAAAAATAAAATTGAAATATATCTACCTGTATCAAACTTGCTACCAATTTATGGTCCACTCAGGACCAAATTACTATGGGGCACTCAATAAGTAACTCTATACATAACTCTTAGTTATGTGTTGGAATTTATACTTCATTGAACATAACTCTGTCTCTGTATCAATAATATCTAAATTATTTCAAGATATCTTATTGACTTGTCCTTTCTAAAAAGGATTAAAGCCCTTTGTGAATTAGGACCTCTGAACATTTTATGAACACCAAATTCTTTTTTTCAATCCTTCTCTTCCTTTTAGTCAGCACTGCATATCTAAAATATTGAAATAGATTTGCAGTTGGCCTAGCTGCCTCTGGGTTTTCCTCATTCTCATTTACCCTTCATACCATAGCCAGATTAATTTTCCTAAAACACCATTAGATAGATCAAGGTCAAAGTCCTTACCTTGAACTTGATATCCTCTAGTCCGATTTTGTCTCATAGTTTTCCTCTTACTCCCTACTTTCTATCCCTTTGAGGATCTCTACATGGCCCTCAATCTCCCTTGCATATATTACTCATACTCCTGAATTTATCCAAATGTCATCCTGTTCTCTTTCAAGTTCATCTCATCAGTATGAATTACTTTTTTTATTGAAATATAGTTGATATACAATATTACATTGGTTTCAGGTGGACAACATGATGATTCAACAATTATATGCATTATAAAATGCACACCATAAGTGTAGGTACCAACTGTCACCATATGAAGATATTACAATATTATTGAATATATTCCCTATGCAGTACTTTCCTTCCCCATGACTTATTTTATAATTGGAAACTTGTCCCTCTTTTTCCCCTTCACCTACTTTACCCATTTCCTCACACCCCTCCCTTATAGGAACCTCCAATTTGTTCATATGAATTGCTTTTTATCCATCTCAAACCTGATAAGCAAGATATTGAGTGGGATTTTTTTCCTATTGCTCTGAATTTATACCAAAGGCCCAAAGCTGAGAACATAAGATGTGAGGTAATCTGCTTCTAAATTCAAAGAGCCCCTACTAAGCCACTAGTAGTTTGGGTCTAGCTACCTTTCTGAAGGGCTTGCTGAGAGAGGCCAGAACCATGTTTTATGTATCAACCACCTGAGTTAATAGAGGAATAAGACTGAAGGGGAGAAAGCTGCCTGCACCAGGGAGCACAGTGCTCTTGCCCAATATGTAAATACCAACACTAACACTTTCTACTAACTTGGAAGTTGTGGGATCTGGCCAAAATTCTTTAAGGGAATTGCTAACCAGCATGAAAGAAGAACATGGAAGAGAAGTTAATAGGAAGAATGATATTATTATTAATGATGCCCCAATGAACTGATACTTCTAAATTCACATATAAAATATTTCCAATTTCATATACAAAAAAGGAATTTACTGGCTTTTACTATCAGGAAATATTTATGACTGCTTCCCATGTGCCAGGCAGTGTTCTAAACACAGGGCCTACAGCTTGGCAAAATAGTAAGCAGGTTCCCTGCAGCCCCCGAGAACTTGTTAGGGTCTAGAATTAGTGTTGGCTCTGAGCATAATGCTTAGTGCCATCAGAATTTTTTTTCTCCATCTCTCAGATTTTTTTCCTTTGCATAGGCCTAATCTGTGGGCAGGCTCTTCCCCTCTTGAAGACAATGCAGCCACCAGTATAACAATTCTAAAAGGAAGAGAGTCTGTTTTTTCCAGTCATTCTGTCAGACTGTCTCATTGACATGGCTTGGGGTCAGGTAGACACCTCTGAATCTGACCAGCCAGGTCTGGGTATTGTGAGACTACTAGAAATACTTGTGCAGCTTTTTCGCTGCAAAGAGGACAAGCAGGAGAGAAATCCAGTGCAGGGTATACTTACCAAGCCTTTAGCTGGTGTACAACTATGCTTTTTTCTAATTCACACTGACACACTGCAATGGCCTTGGTCATGTGCTTACCCTGGAGCAAAGGAGAGATGGGGTTATCCCCAGAAGAAACAAATCATCTGAGGGGGAAAGGACAGCCGGGGTGCCACTGCCAGAAGGCAGAGAAAGGGATGCTGGGCAAGCAAAAACCACAGCTATCCACTTCATTCCTTAAAAACTTAGAAAGGCAAGATGGTAGAGAGGAGAGGACTTGGACTTGGTCTCAGGAGGACTGAGTTCTAATCCTAGTTCTGGAAGCCATAGGACATTGGGCAGCTCATTCCTTTCATGTAACATGGAATTATCATTCTGCCTCCACCGCAGATTCACTGAAGAGGAAAAAATGAGATAATGAGAATACGATTTGGAAACTAAGTTCCTTATACCTGGAAGAGGGTATTATTGTTATTAATAATAATATTAATATCTCCTAGTGAGTACCTTGCCCAGTCCCCTTACACATTGAAGGTGTTTATTATTGACTGACTGATCCATAATACGGAAACTCATATTACTCTGGGTGCTTTTCCAAAATTTTATACAATGCTTTGGCAAAACGCTCAACATTAAAATTCAATGATTCCGGAACATATGAAGCAAGCCATCTTCTGACCTCATCATTCAGTTCTCGATTTAAGTACTGCTTTCTCAGGGAAAACTTTATGGACCATCCCCTGCCATCCAGTCAGGGCAGGGGCTCCAATCTGTTTCACAACACAGTTCTAGTCCAACTGTTACTTGTAAAACACTTTGTTTAATGTCTGTCTTCTGCAACTAGCCATGAACTCCTTGTGCAGGCACCGTGGCTGTATTGTTTGCTGTTGCATCCTGTTGTAAGGGCAATAGTAGGAAAATAAGAAATATTTGTCCAATGAATGAATAAATTCTTGGGATTAAGTGGAATGAGGTCAAGAGGATTAGGAAACAGGCATCTAATTTTCTCTTCTGTTCTCCTGATGTCTTTTACCAAGCCCTCCAATGACATCCTCATGACATTTGGAACTTCTTCTAAGCAAAGAATGGGTATTTTACTGAACATGTCCATTTAAGGACACATAATAAATGACTATTTAGAAATAAAATCCATTCATTCTGACCTGGGCTAGCTATGTCTCAAAAAATGCAGAACAAATATAGCAGTTTCAAGGCCCTGTAATCATTAATTTATTCTGGAATAACCGTTCTAAATTTTATACCCATGTATATCCTGGTATGTCCTAATGCTTCTATCTGCCTCCAAGCCACAACAGACTATTAGCAGTTCGTTCCTGGAAGCATATAGATGACTCCCAGCCAGAAATTTGATTAGAGTGGATTGGAGCCAGAAAGGAGACTTTAAAGACAACTTTTTCCTTCTTACCCATGTCCACCCTGAATTTCATTTACATAATGCAGCTCTTAGTAGAAATGAAATGAGTCAGCATCAGGGAAGACAAACTAAAATATGACTTCCATATCAAAGGCAATGTTTGTCCTTTCTGTCAGCTTCAAGGAGTAAGTGGTCTTTTAAATAATAGAAAAAAATGTTTGAATAGTGGTCAGTGTCTAGTAAGGTCACAAATATTTGTTGTGTTCAAGATTTTTTAAATGTTTAACTGTGGTAAAATACACACAAAATAAATTGTACCACTTTAACCATTCTCAGCTGTACAGCTCAGTAGTGTTAAGTACATTCACGCTGTTGCACAATCATCTCCAGAACTCTTTCCATCTTACAAAATCAAAATTCCATATTCATTAAACAAGTTGCCTTCCTGACTCCCCTTTTCTCCTAGCAACCATCATTCTACTTTCTCTGAATTTGACTACTCTAAGCACCTCATTGAGTTTCCAGAATTACACAGTATTTGTCTTTTTGTGACAAGCATACCCCACAACCCCCAGGGGCTTGAAGTGGGGGGCCCTGAGTCTGCTCTCTCACTCTGCTCCCACTCCAACAACCTGGGATGGAGGTAGGAGCACAGTCTGGCTCTGAGATCCTCTGCATCACCTCTCTCTTTTCAAGGCTAATTCCTATTGAGGACTGGCCTGGGTGTAGATAAGGCAGAGGCCTCCTTATGTATGTGGCCTTCAACCTGTGGTGGCAAGTCTCTTCCTGCACTGACTTGGTGCATGGTTGTCCTGGGGCTATTTTTAGTACTAGCCTAATTATCTGTGGCTCCTGTTAATCCTGCTAGCTCTCTCTGTCTCCAAAACCTCTCCAGGAGAGGTAACTTTACTTGCCAAGTGGCCCCAGAGGCAACTCCAAGCTCCTGTTCACTCTCCTCAACCTCTGAGCTACATCTATGGCACCAGTGATGACTTTTCCAGACCCTAAATGCTGAGGGACACTGCAGTGAGATATCCCCATCCTGTCCTCAGGCACAGCACATCGCTGCTCCTTCTCATCTGCTGGCCTAGGCTGATCCAGAAACCTTTAACTGTGATGTAGTTAATGGTCTCTACATTCACATACACCCCAAACTCAAGGAAAGCCAGAGAGATGACACCTATCAGGATCTCCCAGTGACTCTCCTAGTTCCCTCCTACAATCACATCACCAGAAAAACTGCAGGTTCCCAGCCAGAAAGTGAGGAAGTAGTCCTCCCTTCTTTCCTTTCCTTGAAGCCTCTCCCCATCTGCTGCTACCTGACCTGGTGGTCGCGGTGGTGGTGGTGGTAGTGGAGAGAAGTATGAGGAGGGAAGGAAGTAACATCTAACCTGGGATTCTCAAACTGTTCCCTTCTTTTCCTTCCTAACTTCTGCTTTTATAGACTGGCTGAGGGGACATGGAAGAGGGCAGGCTGGGTGAGTGGGAGTTCAAACAGGACCTGTTAGGCTGCCCCTTTGTAATCTTTGTTGGTTTCTGTGGCAGAAACTTCTACTTGCCCATGCAACAGCATTCTCCGTTCTTTCTTAAAAAATCCTATCTTACTCAAGATGGCCAAATGCCCAGGTAAAAGAGCTACATTTCTCAGGCTCCCCTGCAAATAAGGACGGCCCACAATATGTGTGCAGGTGTGCAATTTTAGTAGAAGCCTGATTAAGAGAGATGATTAGCTTGCAGGTATGAACTTTTGCTCTCTTCCCTATCCTCCTTCTTCCCTCCTAGAACACAGTTGCAATGGCTGGAACTCCAGCCACCAAGGACAGAAGTCACATGACAAAATTAGGCAGCTGTGCAGAATAAATGAGATAGCTTATGTATGGTGACTAGCACAGGGCCTTAGATGTTTAATGAATCGCCCCTGCTGTTAACGACTGAACCTAGGGGAGAGCTCAGGAGAGTTGTTTTGGCTTTGGACCTGCCACTTCTCCCCACATTTTTATGTCACTGGAAGGGAAAGGGAACTCTGAGCAAGATCTAGTTCTGCCACTGACTTCTTGCATGACTTTGAGCATGTCTCGTAACGTTCAGTACTTCCTTTCCTTTGTTGGAAAAACGAAGAAGAAAACACAAATCTATCCTACCACAAAGCAAGAGCATTACACTGGAATTGCATTTATCTTAATAGTCACCCTCTATTCTTGGCATGTGATACTGATTTTCCATTTATGGTAATGACATAGTTTCCCATACAAGTAAATTCACCAAAATATTAACTACTGAGTGAAAAAATGAGCAAGAAACTTGAACACATACTTCACAATAAAGGATTCTCAAGTGGCCAATAAATATAAGAAAAGATGTTCAATGTTGTTAGTCATCATAGAAATGTACTCCATAAAAGATCTACTACAGACCAGAATGATGCGGCATAACTTTTTAAAATAAACCTATTTATTGTTGTTGATAGACATTGAGTTGATTTCCCATTTTCATGTTTATGTAAAATGGTTCTTTGAACATTCTAATACATATTTCTCTTTTTTAATTAAATATCATTAATATACAGTCTTACATAGGTTTCAAATGTACATCACAGTGGTTCAACAGCCCCCACGATCAATTTATATTGTGATTGTGAACTATTGTGCCGCTTTATCCCTCTCCCTCTCTCCCACCCCCAACACCTGACCCAACCCCTCCTCCTTGGCAACCACTAGTCATTTCTCAGTGTCTATGAGTCTAATGCTATTTTGCTCCTTGTTTTGCTCTGTTTTTATATTCCACAAATAAGTGAAATCATGTGGTATTTTCCTTTCTCTGCCTGGCTTATTTCATTGAGCATAATACCCTCTGGATCCATCCATGTTGTTACAAATGGCAGGACTTCTTTTCTTTTATGGCTGAATAATATTCCATTGTGTATATATACCACATCTTTTTTTATCCATTCATCTATTGAGGGACACTTAGGTTGCTTGTTACTGCAAATAGTGAGGCGATAAACATAAGGGTGCATATACCTTTTCAAATCAGAGATTTTGTTTTCTTTGAGTAAACTCCTGTAAGTGGTATTACTGGGTCAAATGATATTTCTATTTTTTGTTTTTTGAGGGACGTCCATACTGTTCCTACAGCTACTGTACCACTTAACTGTCCCACCAACAGTGTAGGAAGGTTCCTATTTGTCCACATCTTCACCAGAATTTGTTGTTTCTTGTCTCTTGGATAGCAGCCATTCTAACTGGTGTGAGGTGATATCCCATTGTGGTTTTAATCTGCATTTCCCTGATGATTGGTGATGTGGAGCATCTTCTCATGTGCCTGCTGGCCATTTGTATTTCTTCTTTGGAGAAGTGTCTGTTCAGATCCTCCACTAATTTTTAATAGGATTATTTGTTTTTTGGGTGTTGAGGCATATGAGTTCTTTATATATTTTGGGTGTTAACCCCTTATGAGATGAGTTGTTTATGAATATGTTCTCCCATACTGTAGGATGCCTTTTTGTTCAGTGTCCTTTGCTGTACCAAAGCTTTTAAGTTTGACGTGTCCTATAGTCCCACTTGTTAATATTTTGTTTCCTGTGCCTGAGGAGATGTGTCCAGGAAAAAATTACTCATGCTTATATTCAAGAGACTTTTGCCTATGTTTTCTTTTAAGAGTTTTATGGTCTTTAATCCATTTTGAGTTTACTTCTGTGTATGGGGTTACACAAGAAGCCAGTTTCA